CCCTTGCGAATATGTGCGTGCGTAGTAAAATAGTAGGCGTTAGATATTTATGAAGGCCAAATAAATTTTTTTTTTACTGATTGTCATGCATAAATATCTAACGCATTATCATGCATTTTGAATTTAAAAGATAAAAGGAGCTGATATTAATTATCTCAAATTTTTAAACGATATTTTGGAAAATTTATTTCCATATTAAAGTTGGGAAAATTAATTTGCTAAACTAATATGTACAATATCTATCTCCTTTCCATCTTAAATTGGTTAGGGTTCTGTGGCGGCTGTGATAGTGTTGGCAATTATGGAATCCAGGTAGCTTACGTGGTAGGAGCCATGCTGCAGCTATATTAGTAGTATAGTTGTAGTACGAATGGGTCGGCTCGAACGGGGAAGGACCACGCTCTCACAGAATACCAGCGTAAAATGGCAGCTTGCCACTGCTGTGTTTCGTATGGTGAGTGTAGATAACCAGAGACCCAATTTACTGGAAAAAAGGCAATCCATCTTAGTCCTCACGACGACGCATCTGCATTTTGATTCTTTATTGAGGATAAATGTGTCTATGGGTCACAGCAACCACTTACCATCAGGTGGACTGTGTGCTCTTTTGTCACCTTATCCTATAATAAACGTGCGTGGGACTAAACTTTTGAATAAAATGTTAGTGACTATGTGTTGTCTCAGAATTTTCATATATTATAGTTTCTATCTATACGTTTGCATCAAAAAGTCCAACTCGTAATGCTTCAAAACTTTTCGTATAATACAAGTCGCCTAGTATATTTTGTTGATGCTTACGCTTGAACTTCAGGGAACTTTGTAAATACAATAAATTATAAGACTTACTTTTTGCGTTCGCTCTGACTAAACATAAACGGCAGGCCACGCAGAAAGTTTTACGATACTAAAAAAGTTCTATGGTTATTTTTTATGAGTCTTTTCGAATAATTCCCCACCAGCTGTTTATTATAAAAAGTTACATGAGTCTGAACCGATTTTCTAAAAACTTTTCCAGTACACCTCAGACACTTTTCCTACGGTCTGTTCGAACGTTGAAATCTCTGTACCTTTTAACTGATTTTTTCATCAGGGTTGTAAGAAAGGTGACTTAACGCCTTAACCAGTGTGATATTAAAGAAGTTCCTCATTTTATTACTTGATTATAATAATATACATTTTTATATGTCACTAATTATATTTATCTTTCTTTTTTGTTTTTGTATAGCATTGTCTTGGTCTTGAACTGTTATGATACTGGTAACTGTTTTTTTAATGAATAAATAAAATAAATAAATAAAAACTTTTTGAGCGCTGAATGCGTGAGCGCGTCGTCTAGTTTATTTTATATAGAATAAGAGTGACAAACGAGCACACAGTTCACCTGATGAGAAGTGGATGCCAAGTCTCATAGAAATCTACATCTATCCTCAATTAAGAATCAACACTCCTCAGGACTAAAATGGAATGCCTCGTATCCAGGAAAAAGGTCTCCTGTTCTCTACACTCACCATACGAAACACAGCAGCATTAAGCTGCTATTTTAGGTTGGCTTCTGTGAGAGCGTGGACTTTTCCCAGTCGATCCGACACATTCGTACTACAACTTTTACATAGCTGCAGCATGGATTTAACCCGTGTAAAATAATAGTGTACCAGTTGCTCGCAAATTTATCGAGTTTCGTTACCGAGTTCGGTCGCGTGTTGCTCACAGCAGTGAACACTTCTGGCAAGCATTTGGTAGTTAAACCATTCGGAAATAATATTTTTTTATATAAACAAAATGAGCTATAGTTGCCAACATATCACGGCACAGTATTTTTAATAAAAACTATTTAAAAATTAATCAATAATAAATATTATGCAGTGTCAAAAAAAATTGCACCACTGTTGATTGGTGCAATTTTTTAAATGATGCGAATATAAGGTTGCCTATCTATTTTCGGCAATAATAACAGGTTGCCAGGTATAAGCGTAAGCGTGTATAAGTAATTTTCCGTCATCGAGTTTCCTTATAGAATTATATCAAAATGTGGATAATTTTGGGGTGATCACGATGGTTAGCAAAAGTAGGTAATATTAGGTTGTCGATTCTAAGATTTTTCAGGGTTTTAAGGCAATGGAATTCGTGTTGGTGAAATTCACGTCTTCGAAATATTTTTTTTCTTATTTTTCCAACATGCAGGTTTTTTGATTTACCGCCGGAGAGTACACCCCCACTGATGGAAGCATATTATCAGTTTCCCCAATGTTTTATAATATTGTTTAACAGTTTTGACTTATTTCTAAAACACATAGAAAAGGGCTATGCGTAGAGACACGCGATTTGATACATTACGCGCAAGCCCTCTCCCAGTATTAAAATTATTAGTTAGTAATATTAAGTTATGTTAAACGAAAAGAAAGTGACAATAATAAAATAAAATAAAATAAATTTATTGCAGACTTTTGGTCCATAAGAGGGTTAGTACAAATTATGTTAGAAAACAAACTAAAAATAACTACACGATGATATCAATTTAAATATTTTCAGGGCCAGTTTGCGACACCAGTTATACACGTATGTGTGTATTCCCAGTGCCTCATGACTGGACAGTCTAGCTTATCACTAATGACCTTCAGAATAGTGTTGGAACTCCCTCGCACTCTGCGCATAAGAGACGCGATTCGTTGGCGTATTACAGCGTGAAAAATGTCAGTATGCGCTAGCACAAACATCCTTGATGCACTGCAAAATCGCGGGAGTCCCAACATCACTTTTAAGTATGGTTACCAGATGAAAAAATTAAAAGTCCGGAGAAGAGGCCTGATTTCCATTTAAAAATCCTGAGATTTTTTTATAGTTTGAGAAGAAAACCTTACTTAAAAAGGTATCTTCACATATTAAGTATGATAAAACTGTTTAAGTACCTACTTGGATAAATAAGTTTTGATTTTAATTGTGCAGTTATTACCAAAGGAAAATTATTTTTAGTTTGTTTAACTTTTTATTTAAGAGATCTTTAAAATGTAAGCTGTATTATATTGAAAGTTCTAAAAATCCTGAGATTTCATGAGATTTGCAAAATCCAGCCCCAATCCTGAGAAGAGTATAAAAATCCTGAAATCTCAGGACAAATCCTGAGATATGGTAACCCTACTCTTAAGGCATTATTATATTGAAATGATAATTATTAAATAATATGTGGATATAAAAAAAGGTTAATCTGAATTCTAACAAAAACACAATATTAAAATGACAGTAATAAATATAAAGATGAATAAAAACAAAAGGTAATATTAATTCTACACAGACAAAATATTGCGACGGCACAATAATCATAAAGTAAATAGAAACAAAAGGTGATCTTAATTCTAGCACAGACAATATAATATAATGGCACAATAAACGTTAAGGAAATAAAACACAATAGATAACCTGAGTTCTAAGCGAAACTGTGGTGCAATTACATTGGTGTAATCAAACGATATGATATAGATAAAATAGTACATGCAGGTTTCCTCACGATGTTTTCCTTCAAAGCCAACCACATGGTAAATCAGCACTTAAAATTGCAATTAACAATTACATTGGTGCCGGCGGGATCGAACCCGGATTGCTCGCGTACTATGAAATTTATAGCGAAAATTATAGCTTAGCCCCTGGGCTACCACTATTAACTATTGACAATTTATTTAAATAGATTTTAAAAATATAATTAACAAAAAGATATGAAGTGGCAACCGTGGTGGTTTTGTTTATTTATATTGTATAAAATATTTATTTTATAAGAAAACTAGACGAGGGCAAAGAAAATATACACTACGCGAAACGAGGGATAGTCAATCTAAGGCGGGATATTAGACTATGAATATTTTATCAGTACAAGCTCAGGGTAACACGAATCTAAGTTATTTTAAAAATAGTTTTTAAAAATTTACGTGGTCTACCACGCATAGTCCTCATGTCTGACATCATCTGACGCATCTGCATTTTAATTTGCAAACAAAGATAGATGTAGATGTCTATGGGCCACAACAACCACTTACCATCAGGTGGACTGTGTGCTCGTTTGTCACCCTTATTCTATAAAAAAGGACACATATTTGATACACTAAAAGTGTTGAAAATATTGTCATATCAGGCTCTCACTAAAGTCAATTTTATTTCTTAACTATTAATAATAAATAATAATAATCTATGCCGGTAGTTTGAAGGTAGGTAGGTAGAAGTTGTTGACGACTGTATTTACCTAGAACAAATTGTCGAGGTATTGGTAAGTCCAATTTTAACCGGGAGGTTAAAGGACGAATAAATTGACGGATCGAACTTTGTTGGGCAGCGACTTGCACATCTTCTCGCCCGCCTTCCTCTTAACATGAAAACGAGAGTGTACAATCAGAGCGAGTTGCCAGTGATAATTTTTTTATAGAATTAAGGTGACAAACGAGCACACAGTCCACCTGATGGTAAGTGGTTGCTGTGACCCGTAGACATCTGCATCTATCTTCGTTTGCGAATTAAAATGCAGATGCGTTGTCAGCCGTGAGGACTAAGATAGAATGCCTCTTTTCCAGTAAAAAGGGTCTCCGGTACTCTACACTCACCATACGTAACACAGCAGCATTAAGCTGCTATTTTGCGCTGGTATACTATGAGAGCGTGGTCCTTCCCCGGTCGAGCCGATCCATTCGTGTTACAACTACACCAGAAATATAGCTGCAGCATGGCTCTACCACGCTTAAATATATGACGTATATTTAAGCGTGGTAGAGCGATATATGGATCTGTGACGTGGTCCTTCACTGCTTGCCGTATGAGCTCAAGGTAGCTCTCATTTAGTGTAGTAACATGTTTAAAATATGTATAATACTTTTAACTTTATTCAGATTATCCTTTTCTTTTGATTTATTAGTCCTTGATTATGGCAGACAGTAGGTCAGCCTATGGTTTTTATTACAAGTCCCTACCACTTAACATATCTCTTTTAATAAGCTTGTTTAAATTATTCGTTTTTTTTGCAGGAAGTAGCGCTCTTTGGAGAATTTTCCATACGTGAAACCATGACTTACTTTGGTTGGATCGCAGGGATGGAGTCTAGGGAGGTGGACGAGAGGACGGACTTTTTAATAGGCCTACTGCAGTTACCAAACCCTACCAAGTAAGTCGAGATTACGTAGGGTAGTATAATAATTATAATGATGTGTTTCTGGCCTTCGACTACGTAGTAAGAGAAAAGTAAATAGGTGTTTTGTGTACGTGTAGTGCAATTATATAATGTCGGACTAAAAAATAATATTCAAAATCTGAAGATAGGACGGGCTAATTATGACATCAGTACATCAAACACCTCAGTCCCACCAGTGACCATGGGTGTTGTAAAGCACCTGTAATGTAGGGAATTAAAAAATTAAAATTAAACGCGATGAAATTCGTAAAATTAGTTTCATTTGGTGCAATTAACAAATTATTGCTTTGATGGCTTGGTACCGCAGTGGCTAAGCGTTTGGCTGCAGCTTACGGGGTGAAGGGTTCGATTCCCGCTCGGATGAAGTTTGCTTGGATGCTGAATTTTTTTGCGTTGTATCTATGGAAAACACCTTTACGATACAGAAGAAAATCTTATTGTGGGGGTAATATTTAAAAAGTAGTCATAATTAAATCACCACCTGTTATCAGGTTGAATTGCAGAAATTCACAATGTAATATATAATTTAGAGCCAGGGCGGCATCAGAGGCATCTAAACTAAGTGTCGCAAATATGAGTCCCTGAGAGATGACTACACATTTGTGTCATTTGCTGTAGATACTATCGGTCCGTGGGGTCCACGTGCAGTGAAGTTCCTAAAGGCACTCCATCCGCGGCTGGTCGTTGCAGGTGCTAAAAGGGCTGGTTGTTTTCTCGCTCAATGACTAAGTATAGCCATTCAGCGGGGAAACGCAGCCAGCGTTCTTGGCACGATACCGCGGGGTGTAGGACTGTATGATAATTAAGTTACTAGTTTTAGTTTTTTTTTTTATTATAGTTTTTAATATTGTATATTATGTTATGTTTAAATTTTTAGTTCGTATTTATGCGCTGCCATACATAATTTTATGAGATTGCACTAAAACTTTGTCAACTTATTACTTGTACTTGTGCAAATGTTATAGGAATAGTACAATTAACTAACAGTAGGTGGCGCGCGTATTGTACCGACACATTTATATACAGGTTATATTATATCATTCAATTTCAATGAATGTATTATATTTCTAATTAAACAATATAACTCTTCCAAATTTAAAGCGATATTTCCACAATTATTTCTTATGCGGCAGCATTAAGCTGCTATTTTACGGTATCCTTAATGTCCTCGCAAAACCTTTTGTTTTAATACCTTACATTTATTACTCATGAGTTATTTATATTGCGCTAACCACAATCACATGGCAGTCGCCTTCTTAATGGTCATCATGGAAACAAAGAAACAATTTCCCATCAAACAGGAATAAATTACATTTGAATTTTAATAATTGTTTCATGAATCAGAGGCGCCAATTATAAATTTAATAAACAAATAAAACTATTAAAATTATTCGTTATAAATTACTCTGAAATTAAATTAATAAGTAGATTATTTCGTTTATTCCACTCATTATTTAATTTAATTTTGTAATTCATTCTACATATTAATATATTAAATAAATTATATAAAATTATATTTCTAAATAAGACCATTAAAATAAGACCTTTAAAATTATTTCTTATACTAATTATTTTAAAATTAAATTAGAATACATTATGAAAGTAACCAGAATTTATATTTATTATTGTTTGTGAATAGACAAGTGAAGAATTTATCCGGAGGCCAAATGCGACGAGTGTCGCTTGCGGCTGCGCTGTTGCATGAACCAGAGCTATTGATATTGGATGAACCAACAGTGGGAGTTGACCCTGTATTGAGACAAAGGTAAGGTCGTAACACAAATGAGTTTCATCACCGTCTAATGTCTAACTCGATAATTAATGATGAATCTCCAAGGTTACTTGTTGAGACAAAGAAATGAGCATTAATATTGAAAAAAATGTCACGCAAATAGAAAACGAATTTTCTTAAAATTCTTTTTTATTTGCGTCACATTTTTTTGCGTGATGTTACAAATGCCAACTATATACGCGCGTAGAGAATGATTACCAAAACTGGTGATTTGATAGCAAAAAATACGTCCGAAAATTCTGCTCACATTTCACAGACTGGTAGAGGGCAACGGCTTAACTTACCAATTTGTGCTTCAGCCACTAAACAGTTGTCACGTTTTTCTACCACGGCTAAAACATTGATTTCACAACTTACTTGTAGTAATTATTTATACATACTTTATCATATCGGTTAATAAAATTTTGAATAGCTTAAGAGTATACTAGTTGGTCAGGCAAACGTCATTATGCCTATTCTGACAACCTTTTATCCTATAGAAAATCCTTAAATTCATAATAAAAAATATTGAGGGTCACTTACCGGGATAAACCATGTTATCTCTCAAATTGGAGCAAACAGTACACATTTGAAAACGTTACATTAAAATCAGTTATATTATATCAAAGGCATAAATCGTTGGCTTGGGTAACTTAAGGAAAAATATAATTTTGCAGTATCTGGGATCACCTCGTCGATATCTGCAAAGGAGGAAAGACGACTGTCATTATCACAACGCATTATATTGACGAAACTAAGCAGGCTAATATTGTAAGTATATTTTTCTAAATGGTTCGCCATGTCATGACAAATATACATATTTTTTGTAGGATAATGGTTACAAACGAACACACAGTGTTAGAGACACACGGCAGCTTTTGCTGTATGGGCCGGCTCGAACCGGGGTGGTACCACGACTTCTCAGAATACTAGCATGAAGTAGAAGCTCTGCGTCTGCGTTTCGTCTGGTGAGTGCAGGTGGTCGGAGGCCCAATTGCTCCTCCCCCCCCCACATCAACACGGTAGTGGAATTAAATTAGATATTTACCCCAGGAAGGTACCAGCACCCCTGGTAATTGAGAATCTGTCGCTGAGCACTTTCGAGCAAGCTACTCCACTCCTGAGCGTGATTGCTCAGGCTGCCCCGCGTATTCTGGGGGACAAAATTCCGCTCCAGACAAAAACTACTCGGGGTAACGATTTTGACGCCGACCTACGCCGAATGGCTCAATTCACGTTTAACCGATCACGCGGGGAGATCTGTTTATGACTTTTCCTTGGCATATGGTCTGACACAACTGGTTATTTCGCCCACGCGAATTCCAGATGTGGAGCATCATGCACCTTCCCTGTTGGACTCTCCGCTGATTATCCGGACGGACATCAGATCTACGTCTCCGAAACACGGGAGTAATACACCGTCACTGCGGTGCAACTACTGCAGCGATCACTAATAAAGAACTAGATACACAATCCCATGCAAAAGTTCTCTAAAAATTGTCTCCAATAGTTTTGATGTAATTCTAGTTGAAATAAAAATACATTAATGTAAATTCAACCTTAAACGCATTGCCTAAGGTCGTATTCACAAAGCTACGTCCAAATTAAAAGCGCACCCAAATGTTCGAGTGGGTGCTCATTCGGTAAGGACATTTTTTGTCACTGATTGTGTATCTAGCGTTTTATTAGTGATCGATGAACTACTGTGAATGTCTTGACAGTATTACCTTCTTACTGATTTTGGTTCAATGCAGGATTGGAACCCGGGATCACATGATCAGCAGTCCCACTTTCGACCACTAGACCTTGTTGGTGTAGTGGTCGAAAGTGTTTCAGTCAGTTTGGAAAAGGTACAAACACTTGGATCCAAGATATTTACCACTAAAATACATTTTAATGGTTTACATCGGATTCCCCCGAGCCTTAGTTGTATTTTTTAATAGTGTAAGGGTGACAAACGAGTACACAGTCCACTTGATGGTAAGTGGATGCTGTTTCCCGTGTCTATAGACTAATATTGCTAATATAGGATCTTAATTGATAATTGATACGACTTAGGAACCTCCAAGAAAAGAGCCTACTTCTTTTTAAAAGACTGGCAACGCATCTGCAATTCCCCTGGTGTTGCGGTTGTTCATGGGCGGCGGTAGTCACTTACCATCAGGTGAGCTGCATGATCATTTGCCAATTTATTTGAGACCACATGTGAAGCACCAGCTTTCAAATAAAAGAAGAATCATTGAAATTGGTTCACCCAGTAAATAATTACGAGGTAACACACATAAAAAAAACATACAGTCGATTTGAGTACCGTCTCCTTTTTGAAGTCGGTAGAAAGTGACAAAGACCCTTTTCTTATAGCAGACTTAAATGAAACTATAACATACGTTTTTTTAAAAATATAATTAAATATATATTCTGTGTGTATTAAGCGTAACTTACTTTAACAACTTTTTCCAGATTGGATTAATGCGTGGTGGCAGATTTCTTGCTGAAGAAGCTCCAACTGAACTGATCCGACGTTACCAGGCCGACAGTCTCGAGGATGTGTTCCTGAAGCTAGCAGTTCTGCAGAATAAGGGCAAACGTCGCCGCTCTAGTATTCTTGCTAACGTCGTGGAGAAGGTGGAACTGCCACCGATACCCGTGAGTATATACATAATAATTTATATCAGTAAGAGAAGAATCCACTAACTCATCATCCCGTGGGTATGGTACAGATTGAAATAGACATAGACATATGTTTTATATAAATAGAAGGTTTAAACTGGGCAGCAGTATATTCCTGTTAACAACTTAATGAAAACTGCGGTTGCCAATCAGCCCATCAAGCGTGGCAACTATGGCAAATATCATCCCTATGATCTGATGTATGGAGGAGGCCTATGTTCAGCAATGCGCTTTTGATTGGCTGTCTAAGTTTATATATTTGTCGTTTACTATATTTGACTACAATACCATTTAAAGAATAAGGGTAACAAACGAGCACACAGTCCACCTGATGGTAAGTTTCGATGTTATCAACGTGGTAGAGCCATGCTGCAACTATATTAGTGGTATAGTTGTAGCACGAATGGCTCGGCTCGACCGCGGAAGGACCACGCTCGCACAGAATACCAGCGTAAATAGTAGCTGAACGCCGCTGTGTTTTGTATGGTGAGTGTAGAGAACCGGAGACCCTTTTTACCGAAAACGGGGCTATCCATCTTAATCCTCACGGGTGAAACCACATCTATATATTGAAGTAAGAAAATAGGAATACTATTAAACTAGAATTTTTACTATTTCTTCTGATATCATTTCATTGATCATTTGATACAAACATCAAATACAACATCTGCAACAAGAATTTGTAGGCTATACAAACACTTGTTTCGTGCGGGGTTCAAACTCTACACAACAATAAAACTTAATTTTAAGTACAGCTTAATTAAGTGTAGAATATTATACTTTATTAAAAACTTAATGATGGTAGGTAATGAATATATTATTATATTATCAAGTTTTGTTTCCATTTCTATGTACGTTTTTTTGTCTTTGTTATAAATAATTGAGAAACAGCAGCAGCAGTACAAAAGTAGCAAAATTGACCGTCTTTGGGGACTGCCGCCATAAATAAAAATTTAAAACGGTCTATTAATAGTGTTTTTTTTGGATTTTCAAATTAAATATTAAAATTCCAAGCAAAAGCAAAGCAAAAATTATAAGCATTGGTCTTGTTTTCACATCTATCGGCACTCCGAGCAACAATTATATATATTTTACCACTTTTTTATTAAGTCAAGTCTTGTTTCTCTGTCTGTCGTTCCATGTGGAATATTGGAACTCAAATTTCGAGTACTTCTCGATGTGCTAGAGACTTGAAATTTTTAATAAAGCTCAGAAGCGGACGACAATGTGGGAATATGAAATATGAATAAGAAAAAAAAAGACGTGATGCATTATATTTTTTAGTACAAAATTTAAAAAAAAATTACTTGTAATTACTATTGACATTAAAAACATACTAATTTCAATAGAGAGGATGTCTGGGTACTACCATCTGCTTGGGATCCTATAAATAAAATCCCGACCCAAGCATACAACTGCAAGACTTCAAGATACTATAAGTTCATACTGCGTATATCGGAACAAAAGTTTTAACTATGGTATTGGGATGTCGTACACCTCACTTCTCTCCGTGAACATAGGTGCTGTAGTGCTCGGAAAGTCGGGAATATAAAATAAGTTAGTATACGCGATAAAATCCGTAAATAATAGTTTTATTTAGATGTATAGTGTTCGCGTAAATATAATAAATCATTATAAAGGTCACTTGTTTACGTCGTTTATTTATTAATGAAAATGTACGTTGGGCTGCGCAACACTTCACTTTTACCTATCGAAAAATCAGCCAACGCGCCTAAAATAGTGTTCACTTCAAATACGTAACTGGATTTTTTTTGTACCAGGATCCAGCAATAGACTTAGAAGATGCAGAGATCGGTGAGATATCTGGTGAATTCGGTGACAATGTTTCCATGAGCAGCAAGAGTAGGGTCGTGGTGCCGACAGAACTTAACGCTCCCGTAGAGGCCCTGCCTCCAGAAGAGGAGCCGCCAAATGGCTGTCTCGAACGCATAAAACCAATGAAATGGCACCATATGAAAGCACTAGTCTGGAAGAACTTCCTTAGTTTATTTAGAAATTTCGGGTGAGTACATTACTGTAGCCTATTAACGTGCTTTTTTACAGAAGGGTGACAAACGAGCATACAGAACATATTATGATAAATGTATGCTTAGACCTAGAGGTGTGTCATCAAAGGTGAGGCTGTCGTCAAAATCTCCCAGGAACTTCGACGACGCATCGTCGTAGTATAAAGAAATATTTGATTCAAAATATTACTATTAATAATTTCTTATTACAGTAATAACTGGCAAAAAATAACCGTATGGGTCCATACCCACATAAAAAAAAATATTTCGGTAATTTGGGTTCGTAGTATGTGATTACTGTTTCAAATAATTTATTACAATATATTTTTTTATTACAGATTAATTGCATTTATCATTGGCCTGCCAGTATCGCAAATGGTACTGTTCTGTCTAGCTATTGGCCATAAACCAATCGGTTTGCCCATCGCAGTGGTGAACTATGAGATGGGCCCCAACAACACGTCACCAATCTGCGATTATGACAAGGAACATTGCCCTCAAAATCCAGAAACATACGAATGGAATTTGACAAGATTTAGCTGTCGATATTTAGATTATTTGTCGCGACGCCAAAGCAATTTGGTAAGTTTATGTTTTTTAAGAAGGCTTTGCTTGGAGATTCACTGATTGATTAGAGTTTTAGACTTCAAAATGAGGATATCCTTAGTAGTACCAGAGTAACTGACATAGTTCAATGGATTAGTAAATTGAAGTAGTAAAGGGTCGGTCATATAGTTCGAAGAACCGACAACCGATGCCTCGTAACGGTAAGCAATATATAGGTCGGCCACCACTAGTTCAAATGTAGGAATCTAGTAAAAGATGCAGGAAGTCGATGGGTGCAGGTGGCTTGGGACCGTGCTTTGTGGCATTCTTAGGGGAGGCCTATGTTCAGCAGTAGACTTGTGAAAGGCAGGAATGATAATGATTACGAAGATGTTCCTTTTATATTTCATTCTTGTTAAAGATTAGAAAAATAACTAGTCAAGACCTGTCTGCGTATTTTTAGATTTTCGAGATTCTTCAGGATATTTAATTTTTTTTATAGGATAAGGGTGACAAACGAGCATACAGATCACCTGATGGTAAGTGGTTGCTGTAGCCCATAAACATCTTCATCTATCCTCGATTACAAATCAAAATGCAGATGCGTCAAATGAAGATGAAATGCCTTGTTTCCTCTCACCATACGAAACACAGCAGCGATATGCTGCTATTTTACGCTGGTATTCTGTGAGAGCGTGGTCCTTCCCCAGTCGAACCGACCTATTCAAGATGCAACTATGTGGCTCTACCACGTAAAGATGATAAAGATGGTGATGGTCCCATACATGGTAATAAAGTGATTAAAATAACTTCAAATAGGTTTTAATAAAATTCCATTTTTAGGTATATTACCCAACAAAAGAGCAAGCGATGCAGGACGCAGGGAGAGGTAAAGCCCGCCTTGTTCTGGTATTCCCGGCTAACTTCTCCGAATGTCTCCAAGTTCGCGTGACAGATCCTAGACATGCTGATGAATTCACTATTATGAATTCAGCGATGGAAGCGCACATGGATGACACAGGTAAGTCATTACGAAAGATCCTTATCTATACTGTTACTATATTACTATAATATTATAAATAGATAGAGAGAGAGAGAGAGAGAGAGAGAGAGACAGAGAGAGAGAGAGAGAGAGAGTGAGAGCGAATTTTGTGTTTGTATATATCTGGAGGGTAATCTTTGGAACCACTGCACCTATTTATTATTCCAGATGGATATATTATATATATATATATATATATATATATATATATATATATATATATATGTATGTGTAAGTTGTAATGATATTGTCAACAAAGCTGGAAATAGTCTTGCCTCTTTAGAGCTTCCACAGCATGCGCTGCATCAGTAGTTAAAGTTGCACGAAGATAATGTATTGCTGAATTGTTCCTCTTGAAAATTCCTAAAAAAGTCCTCGGCAGCATACATCTATCTTCTAAGGATAACTCACAGTAACCATTTTTATATAGAAACTCACGCGACGTAATAATTATGGCGGTGGTCAGCGAGAGGCATGTTGGTCAGGAAATCCAAAGAAGCATGTTGGTCTCTCTAGGTCAGGAAATCCAAAGAACAAAAAATAAATTTAGTTTAAACCTAAAAACATGGAGCAAAATGTGGTATACCATGAAGTTTTAAAATTAATTGTACTTACCTAATATTTAAAAACCCGGGCAAAGCCGGGGCGACTCACTAGTTAAATACACATTTGTTCCTAAAAATGTTGTGGAATTGTATGACGGAGCCCTAGCTCAGGGGCTAGGAGCTCGCCGACAATTTCATAGTGCGCGAGTAACTCAGTACGGTACCAATTGCTCTTTAGTCCTTTCAGAAATGAGAGGATGCCTTGGCCAGCTGTGGGTTGTGCTGCAAATTTATATAACGTAGAGCAGTAATACTTTTGCGATACTTTTTTAAATTTTTTTGAATGTTAGGTTTAAATGTAATTAATAGAATAATTTATTATTTAGACAAACAAGTGGAATGGATGTTGGTGCGAGAACTCCAAATGGCTTTCTTAGATGCAACGGAACATCTTTCGGATGTTTGTAACTTGCCAAAAAGGATCATGGCATTTCCTGTGAACGTGAGTGTTTTTCTTTTATTATTATTCCAATCAGCCTTCATATTTTTTCTTTATTATGAACCCGTAATGTAATGCTCTTCGGACCGTATTTCGGTCATGGCTGCCAGTCTCAACGAATTTTACGCGAAATCGCAACATTGTGCATTAGTGAGTGCGAAAGTACAAATGCAATCTCTATTCTCTCACTCTCATAGTCCGTTGGGATGGCAAGCCTCAAGCTTGCAAGAGATATTAATATTATAGTTGTAGCATGATTGGGTCGGCTCAACCGGGGAAGGACCACGCTCTCACAGAATACCAGCGTAAAATAACAGCTTAATGCTGCTGTGTTTCGTATGGTGAGTGTAGAGAACCGGAGACCCTTTTTACTGGAAAAGAGACATTCCATCTTAGTCCTCACGGGTGACAATTCATCTGCATTTTGATTCGCAAACAAGGATAGATGTAGATGTCTACGGGCCACAGCAGCCACTTACCATCAGGTGGACTGTGTGCTCGTTTGTCACCCTAATCCTATAAAAAACCTACACTGATGTTTTCAGTCTGAGGGTTATAGAGAACTTATATAATTAAGGGTCATAGACATCTACATTTATCCTCAATAAAGAATTAAAATGCAGATGCGTAGTCACCCGTGAGTACTAAGATGGAATGCCTCGGTTTCCAGTAAAAAAGGTCTCCGGTTCTCTACACTCACCATTCGAAACACAGCAGCATTAGGCTGCTATTTTACGTCGGTATTCTGTGAGTTAGTTAGTTATTTGATTTTAATGGTTAGTTATTTGATTGAAAACTTTTCGTTATTCTACTTTTTAAATAAATTGATTAGAAATAACGTTTTGACATTCATTTCATTTTTGAATACAGTTTCATGCACCAATCTACGGCCTTGAGGATCCCGATTTCACCGATTTTGCTGGACCAGGAGTTATCCTTACGTAAGTATGATTATGAGTTATTATTTTTTATAATGTTTACTTCATTTGAAATGTGGAGATTTTACCTTCGAATAAGGCAAAATACATGTTTTAGTATGCTTTTACGAATGATTTTACGCAGTCTGACATGTAAATATTATAAGATATCAAACTTTCTTCGCATGATGTTATTATTTTACTCTTCGTTGTATAGTTCCCTGATAGACATGTTTCTTTATGTTGCTGTAATGATTGCTCCCGATTGTCGGCCTGGAGATTTTACTTCATCTGTCATAAATGATATGATCGCACCGTCATTTGCCGGAAGTCATAGATCTTACTGGCGTTACCCAAAATTCATATAGTTGCTTCTTATAAAACTTCGGGACGAAATAGGACGATGGATTTTCTATGTCATTATCACACCACACGGCTGTAGGTTACACGGTAATCATGGTATAATCTATAAAAATCTGTATACAAATAAATAAAATTGAAGTGTATGTTTGTAATGTCAAAATAACAGCTTTTTACTAGATGCATATGAAAGTGTACACGGGACTTGTAACAAAAACAATTTTTGAAATTTTCATCTGTTAGTCTGTCCGTTTGTTCCGGTTAATTTCCGAAATGGCTGGACCAATTTTGACGGGACTTTCAGTGGAAGATAACTGATGTTATAAAGAGTAAGTTAGGTTACTTATTCTATTTTAGAAACAGAATTAGGTTACCACTCAAGCGTGGTTAAACCCAAGAAATCGAATCGTAATAAATTCCACGTGGACGAAGTCGCGGGGAACAGCTAGTGTGTATGTTACGCTTACTTAATACGCTGCATCTAGTAGTCGCCGGCTAAACCTAGGTGTATCCGCTTCGGATTTTAGCCATAACATATACATAAAAATACTGTATCGTTATCGAATGTATATGTATATACAGACGTGTTTATTAAACAAGTAATAACTCTTGAATTTATCCCTACAGGATTATCTTCTTTTTGGCAGTCGCTTTAACTTCTGGTTCAATGTTGGCTGAACGAAATGAAGGAATATTGGAAAGATCCCTCGTATCTGGAATTACTGGTAAGTGAAGTGCTGAAAATGTTTCATTCAATGTTTCACCCAAAAAACATTTCTAATTTTAAAATTACATCTAAACTGTGTTTCACGATTATAAAAAAAATTAAAACTAAAACTCAAATTATCAACCAGTCCTACTCCTCTCGGTACAATGCCAAGAATGCTGGCTGCGTTTAACATTAAACATAAAAACGAAACGCAAGTCTTATAAATCTTATTATAGATAATGCATGTTTAGCAGGTTTTTACGAGCTGAAAAAGAAAAACTAGATATTTTAGAATAACCTTCGTTTTATGTCTTTAAGAAACGATATCTGTATCAAAAACCCAAAATTTATAAATTAAAAATAATTATTTTAATAATCAAAATGTATAATATACTTTTTAATATGTCATTAGAATACCCAGAAATTTAGATATCTTAAATTTCATGTTGAATTTCTTTTTACCTAGTGTTATATCCCAGTAATAATTTTATTTTATTATACATATAATTTTTGGTGAATTTTAAGAAATAAATACATATCTACAGCGTAAAAGTGAAATCATTGACATTTTAAACAAAGAATATCCTTATCGTACTAACTACATTGAGACCAAAATAATATCCCAATTCAACTTTCCAAGTTTCTTGTGTCGAAAATGACAGTTTGATGCAATCAATAGCGCGCAATAATACCATTCACGAATTGAAAGTAACTGTTTACATTACAATTACTTGTATGTTAGCATTGTACATAAGTTTTGAGTAGTAATTATTATTGCAACATCTATTTGTTTAACTTTTAAGTTTTGTATTGTGTTGGTAGGAATGATGGACAATATATAAGAATAAATAAATTTAATTTCTTGCAATTACAATATTTCAAACTCGGTGTCCCCGTCTCTGCACTCGCAGTCACCGGCCGCGTCTTCTATGCGGAAACCTCTTAACAAATTGTATTTAAACTATTTTCAAACGAGTTGAAAAAAGGAGGAGGTTTTCAATTCGTCGGAATATTTTTTTTTATGTTTGAAATTGCTCGAAAATTATTTTTTGTTTCAAAGGGTGGTCCTATTGAAATTTTATCGAAATCAGTCGAAGGGTTTTTAAAAATTAACAATAAATTATATTCAAATTGACGGCGTTGGTACAAAATTTTAAATTTACCACTTGTTGATGAGTTGCTTCAAGTAATGAAAGTATTTTCGGACGCAAAATTTTTATTCAATATTGAACGTTGTACATAAAATGGGTTTCCTTATATTGTGCTATTTATAACTTTTTTTTAATAAAACAAGTATGACACGCGAGCACATAGTCCACCTAGCGTTAATTGAAAATGTAGATGTGTTGGAATGGAATGCCACTTGTCCAGTAAAAAGGGTCTTCGGTTCAAATAATACAGCATTAAATAGCTATTCAACGATTCTATTCTGTGATATACATATATATGTGAGTCCGTTTGAACCGATTCATTCTTTACTGCAACCATAAAGTTATAGTGTGTCTCTACCACGTACAAAAAACGCACGTATATTTTTACAAATTGCCCCTCCAGAGCAAGATTAATACGCAGTGTTTAGATGGTGCAATTTAATTATTGATATAACGTTATTGTATGCAACAGGCAAAAAACTTGTATATTGTAAAAGGTATATATATATATATATATATATATATATATATATATATATATATATATATATATATATATATATATATATATATATGTATATATATATATATGTATATATATAGAAATATATATTATATATAAAGGTATATAAGGTATATCGCAAATCTTAAGCATTAATTTTACTTTCTTTTTTGTTTTTTTTTTAAAACGTTATTACTATTATTATCACTAGTAAAATTAATTTTACTAGTGATTTTAAAAATTAATTTTACTAGTGATGAAACCAGGACAGAGGCCTTTCCAAACTTTAAAAAACATGTGAATCATTTTACAAGTGATCATTAGTACAAATAATCACTAAAAATAATTAGGTCATAATAAATAATACGAGTATATCTACTTACTCCCACGAGTAACATTTGTCACCTTGTCGGAGATTGTGACGTCTTTGGTACTTTGCTTATTTATTACTTCTTTAGTTGTTATTATTTGCTACGTCGTTACTTACTAATTTACTTTACTTTAATACATTCCTCATTATGAGTAGAATAATAAGTTCACTGGATGTCGATGACTCTAATTCATTCTGTATATAAAATTCATGTCTTAAATGCAGTTAAGGGACGTTATTGCACGCCTCACAACGTGAGTGAGTGCTCTACTCTCGATATGTGGCCATACCTCAATTTCGCTACATAAAATCGTTCTTATACTTTAAGCTAGACATCAAATCCACAGTTACAATAACTACAGACATTGAATTATAAGATTAGTTTATTTTCTAATTGATTACCTTTAGATTACATAATTTATCACCTAATTACCATAATTTGTCACCTCTGATGTACCATGTTTAAGCGAATAAACGATATATTTCATTTATTTAAGTACACACAACAAAATACAGAAACAGTCTTATAGTGAGTTTGTACAAAGGTTCTACTTATTCCATAATTTGCTGAAATATCTTCCAGTAGACCCACAATGGAAAATGTATTTAAAAAGGCGAACTTAGTGCGTACAATACTAATACTACTGTAAATAATATACAAAAGCATACGTAAATTATATTAAATTATACTATAAATAAAAATATTATAGATATTAGATATATTTATATAGATATTATTATTATTAAGTATAACAAAAAATTTAATTGAAAAAATATATGGATTGCCGTCCGTTGGTCGGTGAGTCTTCTCGCTTAATAGAAATGTAAGCAATAGATTGAGATAATATATAGAATTAAATAAGATCCCATATATTTTAAGCAGGATTCCTATCGATTTTTGTGATTGAACTCTTCTTTTAAAAATTATCGTCACACAATTATATTTTTATTCATCAAAATTAAATGAAACGCTCATGAGGCGTGCACTTTTGGGTTTTCAAAATTTTATAAAATGTGTAAAATAAATTTATTTTATTTCAGGCACCGAAATTCTGTTCTCTCACGTGTTAGTACAGATGATTGTGATGATAATCCAGACTGTTATGGTACTTGTTCTCGGCTTCGTCGTTTTCGGTCTCACCATAAATGGTCCAGTGGGCTGGGTTTCTGTGCTCACTCTCATCACTGGATTATGTGGAATGACATTTGGTAAGTTATCTCAGCTCTCGAATTTCACTATACGAAATCGTTATAATGACTTATGCTTTAAGGATAAAACTTACGATTATCTATCACGCAAGACTTTCATCTCTAAGAATAGCTTAAGTTATAGTAGTTAAAAATAATAGGCTAATTAAGTATTAATATACATACCTTGTGGGAGGCATATGTTCAGCAGTGGATTTATGAAGGGCTATAATGATGATGATGATGAAACATACCTTTATCATTAGTCTCAGATTTTACTATTACATAAAAACTGTTCCTTGGAATTATGCAAATTAAAATGTAATTTATGAAATTTGACATTAAATACCTCCCCCCGCCTACCAATAGTCCCGCTGGGTTTCTTGATAGTTCTTCCCAGGACAGAGATTTTTTTCCGAACCAGTTGTAATTAAACAAAAGAGTGACTTTCAATAAGTATTATTTATAATATATAGAAAATAAAAGTTTCTGTTTCTATATTATCGCACGGATGGGCCGGCTCGAACCGGGGTGGTACCACGACCTCACTGAATACCAGCGTGAAGTAGAGGTTTACCTCTGCGTTTCGCTTGGTGAGTGCAGGTGGCCGGAGGCCCTTTTTACTGGAAATGAGGCATTCCATCTTAGTCCTCGCGGGTGACAACGCATCTGCATTTTGATTCGCAAACGAGGATAGATGTAGATGTCTATGGGCCGCAGCAACCACTTACCATCAGGTGAACTGTGTGCTCGTTTGTCACCCTTATCCTATAAAAAAAAATATTACCTATTCATAGATGGCTAATAGTATGAATATTAATTTAATATATTTAATTTAGGTTTCGTGGTTTCGTGCCTTTGCGACACTGAAAGGACGGCGACGTATTTAGCACTAGGCTCTTTCTTGCCAATGATGTTACTTTGCGGAATTATATGGCCAGTTGAAGGTAAGAATTAAATTTTTTAATATTTCATACTTAATTATTTTTAAATTCTTGAACCATTTTAATCTAATTATATGGGTGTCAATGAAATATTACATTAGCAAGAAAACTATTATCAAATTTTTAGCTATAACAAATATGTACCAATCTAGTATTAGTCAAACTTTGCCTTATGAAATAGTTTTCCTTCTAGAAAAAGAATTTAGATAACCGTTTTTAAAAAAATTGACGACTAGTAATATTTTAAAACAGAGATTATTAGCGCCTTAGTGAACTGTAATAAAGGTTTTTTTAGTCAGACAGACACCAGTCTCTCACAAGTTTGTTACCAGTACCTCCTACCTATTGTAAAAAGATAACAAATGGATTCATTCCTTAATTCATTAATTTTATTCGCAGGCATGCACGAAATCCTTCAATGGATCAGCTATGTGCTTCCACTCACTAAATCAACAGAGTCGCTCCGTTCGATGCTGCAACGCGGTTGGACCCTCACTGTTCCTACAGTTTACTCCGGATTCATTTCTACTGCGCTTTGGATCGTTGTTTATCTTACAGTTAGCATTTTGCTCATCAAATTTAAGAAAGGATGATTCCAATGTAATAAAAATTTTGTTTATTTGAAAACTTAAGTCGATTAATTTAAGGGTGAATATGATATGGAAAACTATCATCATAATGTCATTGTGATATAGTGATTGCAGTATGTGATATGGACACATTCCTCATTTTATAATTTTATTCAAAGTGAAACAACGACTAAACCAATTTCTTAGTAGTTAAATTGATGATTCTTCAAAGAATCGGGTGTTTTTATGTTAATTGTGGTTTTCGAAGATTTAGTACATAAGTTACTTATTAGCATGTTACAGTTACATCTTATTGAAAGTAATATAATTTTATATTATAGATACTTGAAGAATATCCGTCGCGTTATTTGAATAAAAAGTAAGTACGTAATCTTTGATTGCCACATACTTGCATTAACTATGATAAGAATTATATATATAAATATAGTATATGTATAAATGTAGAATGGCGATTTGTTCCCTTGAATCAGAGATTCATTTCGATGAATGCGAAGAAATGATGGTGCCGTTTGTTACATGGTTTTGGTTTAATATTTAAAATCTCTTATGGAAACGATATATTCGTTGTGGAAGTTTCTATTAAGCTGGGCAACAGGATTTTATCAAATCACTTAATCTGAATTTTTTTACGTAGGTTTAGCTATAATAGGGGTACAGAAATGATGTTTGTGGTAAATCCGTATGATAATCTCTCTGATAATAATTTTCAGTTGACTGATTCCTAAACGATTAATAATTACTCTAAGTATTTAATTTCTGATTAAACATCTGCGGGGATAGTCATATTTTATAGAATGGGAATGACATATTTAAACTTTAAGACTTATCGTTGAATTCATTCATTTTTATAGTTTTCTATTAGAATTAATGATCATTGAAAGTCGACGTGACCCACTTACGCTAATATTCATTATTTATGAATTTTATATGTAAGCATATAAGTAGGTTCCATTTTATTAAAAGTTCAAATAATTACATGACAAGGTTAAGTTACAGTTCAGACTAAATAAAATTACAGACTGTATTATTCACGTATTTAAAAAAAATGGTTTTGGCTTACAACTTTACATTTTCTTATTGTCAAATTGAAAAATTGATGACTCAATGCCAATATTATTTTTTTTTAAATGCGTTCAAAACATAAAATTATTAAAAAATAAAATTTTATTAAAAGTACCTATTTTTGTATTGCTTAGATTTTTTACATACTGCAACTTAAAGTTTTCGGTATCCACGACGATAGGTGCCTTCGACGTAGATACATAGATGCCAACAATAGAATGAAACAATAAAATTGCACAATGATGTTTTCTAAACAGGTTTATACTTATTATGCTTAGTTGAATTTGTCATATAAGTGCAAATGTATCAACATCGTGCCTGTGTATTTGTATTATTTTTTATATTACGAAAAACAATTTCGATAATGTATTCTTACGTGTTACGTTTGAATACATTGTTAAATATTTTTTTTTACCTACTGTAACGTGAAATTGAATAAAAATTTAAAATGAGTAATTTTATAATAAGTAATTATATTTGTTATTGTGGTTTTGGTATAATATACCATTTGTACAAATCTAATAAACATGGTGTGCTCAAATCCTTCATTATAGATGTGATAATAATTATAAGAATAAAAAAAATCTTAACAAGATTGTTGTTTTTTGGAATTATTTGTATATAATTTTCCCTCATTTATAATAATATATTTGCTGTAACACAGGGCTCGAATGAAGCATGAAAGAATGAATGAGTGAAATATACTGTAAAGAAGTGCGGTTTGACATGTTTTCTTTTTTTATTTCAAGAGATTGCACACGTCTAATGTGTGTAATGTGCGTGTAGAGCATTATAATATGTGTACATTACAATATGGAGCATTATAGTGTAACACATATGTACATCGCGTATAACCTATTGTAATATAACGTAGAATCTAACCTAATCACTGTTCTTACGAAAGTTCTTTACACAGAATTTAATTTGTAGATATGCACAGTACGGAACTTTGGAAGAACTGTAATTACTTCAGTCTGTATCTCCTTACCCGTCATCATAAAAGAAAATAAAACGTTTCGGGTAAATTATTTCAAACCCGGCGCAAATGACGCGAAAATGATAAGGCGTAAGATGAAACGGGGTCGTCGTGATTCAGATTTTTTCAACATTATTCTCTTAAAATTAAAGTTGTTTCAATTTTATTAAATAAGGTTTCTTTGAGCAGGTGATAAAAGAAAGATAATACTAACATATTCTATTATTCATACTTTTATTAGCATTCTTAATAACACGTGCAAAATCAACTTTGAACTTGAATCTTTTCTTATTAAAGAATTCTAAATCATAAAAATCGATAATAACCGGCCAATAAAAACTCCGTACCTCACTTGGCTTATTTTATTTGACCTATCTAAAGCTTTCGACTTAGTCTCACACGACCTCCTGCTACAAAAATCCGAAAAGCTTGGAATTAGAGAACTCTGCGCTACTCTGAAGTGGATATCTTCATACCTCAGTAACAGACAGATATGTTACAATCATGTAAATAGATGAAAATAAGGACTTCATACCGTATTCGTCTGAATATAGACTCAATAGATATGGCGTTCCACAAGGAAATGTGCTCGGTTTTATTTCATTTCTATTATATATAAATATTTTATTATATACAATATTAAAAATTATAATAAAAAAACACTAAAACTAATAACTTAATTATCATACAGTCCTACTGCCCGCGGTATCGTGCCAAGAATGCTGGCTGCGTTTCCCCGCTGAATTTTTATACGTAGCCTTTGAGCGAGAAAAGAACCGGCCCTGATAAGAATTATGAAAAATGACATTGTTAATGTAACAAGTCATAAATGCATATTATTCGCGGATGACATTTCAATAATTGTACTTTCTAATAAAAAAATATAATACTGTATACTAAAATAAGAGAGTGATATAAATAACACTATCATCATCATCATCATCACCATTACAGCCCTTCACAAGTCCACTGCTGAACATAAGTCGCCCCAAGGAATGCCACAAAGCACGGTCCTGAGCCACCTACATTCATCGACTTCCTGCATTTCATCTAGTGGGGTGATGCCCTACACTTCCGCCGGTACGAGCCCGTCACTCGAGAACCTTTCTTCCTCATCGATTGTCGGTTATTTTACCCGGCCTATTGCCACTTCAGATATTTGCTGGCCCGATTGTCTGACGTACTCATAAATATCATTCATTTTGTTTCGCAAGTCATTTGCATAATCGGTTACTTCGTGGGGCATCAGGTGGTATTCCGGTGATCAGGTTTGCAGGTAGCCGTAATTCTCTTCCAAAGTTTACGAAAGCTGGTGTCACTGATGTACTTTCGTGAACAGTGCTCCGATATGACAACAAAAACGGTTGTATGTATTTGTCCAAGTCTCGTTGCCGATTTTCTACAACTTTTTTTAGGTACCTCTCCAATGTCCGACTAAATAGTTCTACCATTCCATCAGATTATGGTTGGCAAGAAGTTGTTTTTGTTTTATGAGTACCCATAACTCGGAAAATTTCCTGGAATATTTGAGACTCAATATTCCTTCCTTGACCGCTGTGAATCCCTAAAGGTACTCCAAAACGACAGAAGACTTAACTAGCTTATTTGCAACTGTTGAGGCTTCTTGATTTGGAATGGCTAAGACTTCTGGCCACTTAGTGAAGTAATCCACCACAACCATGAAATATTTGTTACCACTTTCACTTTCCGGAAACGGCCCCGCATCGTCCAGGGCTATCCTCTACCATAGTGCATCAACGTTTTATAATTTCAATGCACCTCTACTACGAGTCTGAGGTCCCTTTACAGCCGCACAAATTGAACATTTGCGATACCAGTCCTCCACATCGTTACGACAGTGGACCCAGTTAAACCTATCTCGGATCTTCAGTAGAGTTCGTTTAACTCCCAAGTGGCCTTCTGAACAACCATTATGGTACAGCTGTAGAACATCCGGTACTTTAGCTTTAGGGACAACCATTTGCAAATGACAACTGCCGCCCCTAGCATTTTCCAATTTACGGCACAGGACTCCACCGTGAATCAGCAAGCTGTCCCATTGGGCCCAATAGCTTTTCGTGGTCGAACTCATCGCTGAGACATTTCTCCACTTGGGCTTAGGGGCACTGGCCTTCATCCATTCCAGGCCTGACATCAGTCCGAATCTTTCTGCTGTGCATGTTGTAGCCTGACCTTCCACTCATTGCTGAGCTGGTCTGTCCTGAGCATTCTCGCAGATACCACTTCCTTACCCTCTTGCCTAGTATAATCCTTACAATCTTCAGGACAAGTTCTTCTTTACAATGCATCTGCATTGCCATGAGATTTCCCGCTGCGATGTTCGATCACAAATTCGTATTCCTGCAGTAGTTCCATCCATCTCGCAACTTATCCTTCTGGATTTTTGAACTGCAATAGCCATTTCAGTGCAGCATGGTCAGTTCTTAAGTGAAATTTTCGCCACAGAAGACATTTGCTAAAATACTGCAACGACTTTACCGCAGCAAGCAATTCCCGTCTTGTGACACAATAGTTCCTTTCCGGCTTTGACAACGACTTGCTGAAGTACGCTATCATAACCTTTTGATCACCCTTCCGTTGAGACAATACACCGCCAAGTCCTATATAGCGTCTGTGTCAACTGTAAATTCTTTGCCCGCATCGGGTACCCCAAAATAGGTGTTTTGCACAGACGGTCCTTGAGCTCCTGGAATGCTATATCGCAACTTTCATCCCAGCAGAAATATCGCTTCTCCTCGGTTAGCTTGTGCAGAGGTTTGGCCATATCTGCAAAGTTCTTCACTAATCGCTGATAATAGGAGCATAAATAAAAAATGCTCTAACCTGCATCTTGTCTTTTGGAACCGGCCAATCCTTGACAGCGGCAATTTTCTCTGGATCCGTGCGGATACCTTTTTCCGACACTACATACCCCAAAAAGCTAACTTGCCGTTTGAATAGTGAACATTTCTTCTGACTCAATCTGAGGTTGGCATTCTAAATCTTCATGAGCATGCGTTCCAGCTCAAGCTCCAGCATCCTAGGCCGTATGTTTGAGGAACACCTTCAAGGTGTTCCTCAAACATACGGCCTATGATGATGATATCATCCAAGTATACCAGACAGGTATCGCCAAGTAGCCCGATAAGTACAAGCTCCATCAACCTTTCAAACGTTGCTGGAGCATTGCACAATCCAAACGGCATAACTTTAAATTGCCACAGACCCTTTCCTGTCGAAAATGCAGTTTTCTTCTTGTCCTTAGGATTAATTTCAACCTGCCAGTAGCCACTGTTCAGGTACAGCGTGCTAAGCCACTTTACTCCTGTAAGCATGTCCAGCGTGTCATCAATTCTTGGCAAGGGATAGCTGTCCTTTTTCGTAACGTCATTCAGACGGCAGTAAAGACGAAACCGTATACTGCCGTCTTTCTTCTTTACTAGCTCCACAGGTGAACATAATGGACTAGATAAAGGTTCAATAACACCATCATTCACCATTCCCTTGATCATTATTACCACTTCCTTTTCATGTGCTACCGGCAGTCTTCTTGGCCGCTTATGGATAGGCAATTCTTCTCCTGTGTTTATTTTGTGTTGAACTAAGCGAGTCTTTCCTATGTCAGCATCGTTTAACGAGAAAACATCGGCGTACTTGAGTAACAACTTCTTTGCTTTGACCATTTCATTCGGGGAGAGAACGCTGCGACAGTCTTCTAAAAGTGTGGTTACTCTCGTTTGTGCGTCCTTGCTGTGGGTTCCAGTCGATAGATATTGGCATCGACGCAACCAATCCACTTCCTCACTAGTACCAGCTAGTGTGGGTTTTTCTATAATCTGTTCCTGATCAAAAAGGTTCAGTACACGTACTACTGAAATGTCGTTGGTTCTGACTAAAGTTTGAGTCAATTTCCATGGAAAGTCATTGTCTACCCTTTCCACGAGTACACAACGATGAGTTTGCCCAGGATTCCGAGAAAGACTAACCAGCATAATCGTTTCCAATTACGGCGGAAGAACAATCTTCTCAAGGCTGTACACATTCCCTGGTAACGCCCCTTCCACAAAAAGTTCCTCTTGTCCACATTTCAAAACACCTTGCTTAACGTCGATCTCACAACAATTCTTCCTCATAAAGTCTAGGCCCAGGATGCAGTCGTCCATTATATCAGCCACGATGATATTGTGCAGGTAGACAGGAATGCGCTGACCAGTGTCTGTCACTAAATTAATGCGTTCTCGGTTGTATGCGGAGTCCCAAAGGAACTCATAAGTTGGGAACTGACAACTGTTGAGAACGTGCGAGAGGCCATGCTATGGTCAGTTTACGCGGCGTTCCGTTGACCTCGCCTTGATGGTTAAGCTGTTCCCATCATGGGTTTGTGAAATCGAAATCCTTGGGGCTCTTATTTACAACAGCCAGCACCCGTCCCGCAGTCCTGGCTTTTACTTGTTTCCCTGCTACTGCTGGGCGGTGATTTTAGCCGCACTACCCTCTCGAGATCGATCACCTCCTCTTTCTACAGTTTGCTTAGGGCAGCTGGATCGAAGATGGACCCTTTCCCCACATCCGTAACACCTAGGGCTGTATCCTTTATTGCGGTCGCGGACTGTAGCTGCTGTAACCTCCCAGACGCGATGGGAATGATGATCCTGCCGCACGGCTTCCACCTCCAGTGTATGAGCCGAGGCGTCCTTAAGTATCTCCTGGTGTTCAAAGTCGCGGATGTCGTCGATGAATGTCCGCACCAGGTTCCCTAAAATAAGCGCAGGTACAGACTGGTATGCTTTTCGAATCAGTTTCTCCACCTCAAGGGCCCACTACTGCATGTTTTCGTTGCTGCGTTGCACGCGATCTTTGAGCTGCACACGAAAGACGTGTTCGTGTTCTAGGTGAGCGTCGCCATATCTCGTCTCCAATGCTTCAAATAGCTGTTCGTAAGTCACTTCCTTATCAAGAGCTTCCAGAACAGTTAAGGCCTCGTTGCGTAGGCCTAGAGTGAGAGCAGTCATGGCCTGACTTTTGTTCCAGCATTTCGCCTTCATGACAGCCTCGAACTCGATTTCGTAAGCCGACCAGGGAGAGGTCCCGTTGAACGGTGGGACTTTGAATCTACGTAGCGAAGGTGTTGTAGCTACCACGGGAGCTGTAATTCTATTCCCAAGTTTGAGGTCATCCAACGTTTTCTTTACGTCAGCCATCGTACGTTTTTTACGTAGCCAACGTTATCAACCCGATTGTTCACTTGGTCGATTCGTGTTTCAGCTTCCGACAGGCGGTTTTCATGTTGAGCAATCCTGTCCTACACCTCCCTTATCTCTTTCCCGAAGGTAGCGTGAAGGTTTTTCATGAAGAGCATCTGCTCTTCTTTATCGCGTTAGATCTGCTCTTTCAAACAACGGGGATGTTCCTCCTGTCGGCGGGCCTGTTCCTCCTGTCGGCGTCCTGCATCATCGTCATCAAAACACCTAAGTAAGGTGCTGCATATGCAGGAGCCGCTGACACGCCGGCCTCCTTGGTCAGCAGCTGGCCCTCCGACGTCTGCGGCGTTGCACCACCAAATCGTTTCTGGTTCGTCTCTTGCTGGCGTTGACTTCGGCTATCCCCTCTGTGTCATCCTTTGGTAAAATCGATATGATTTGATCTCACTTCTGAGATCAATTGTTACGAGCTTGAGGTTCGAGACAATTAAAAACAGCCGATAATTGTACTTGATCACTTTAGTTGGCAGTAGTATCACTTCGAAGTTCGAAGATTCGCTTGTATCTCCTGTCGTGGTTTATACCGGCCTTATATAGGTGCCTCAGATAGTTCCAGAATCTTCTACTGTAGAAACATCTAGAATGTTCGAGTACATACCGGTCCCGATTGACTAGGTGTCGATAGTTCTAGAAAGCTCTTCCGCGGAAATTTATAGAAGGATCTTGACTCTCCTAGTTCTGCCACTCTATACTAGAGGGCACTAGTGGTAACTAGTGTTGCCATTTACCAGGCAATAATGGTGGCGATCAACAGTATTTATTGAAGTAAAACAAAAACCAGTGATAACAAAAATAAGCTTTTATAATAGATTTATTAATGAATTATTTACATTTTACTCTTTACATGCATTCATAATTAAAATTAATTTAGTTTTAACAAAGTAATGATGAATTTCATGGTCTTCTACTCGTATCAATTGACGGTGTAATTTTTGTTTGAGATATTTTATTTTAAGGTACCATACTCGTAAAATAGATGTAGATATTTTTTTTACGTTCGAGTAGACTTCAAAATTTCTTAAATGCAGTTCTATGACGTATGCTACACATGGAATAAAACTAATGTTATGGATTTTATCACGTTTAACTTTACCTTTTTTTAATTTAATTTTGACGTGGGTATTTTTTTTACGCACCTTTCGATAAAAGTTCCATAAAACCCGCGTAAAAGAACATATCGTTAATGTGAAGCACCGACGCTCCGGGAGCGTGTTAATACCGTTCCAACCATTATATCGGATCCGATAGACAATAAATCCTTGCAATAGAACACCGATTCTTTGATGATCCGCGAGGCTATTGAAATAAAAAAAAAACATCCTAATTTTAATACGGATGATGACTCAGTGCTACCATCTGCTAAGGACTCCATAAGCAATAAAATTAAATTCAAACCGAAGCATACTACTGCATTTATTCTATTCTATTCTTATTCTAATCTTTTCTAACTATGACAATAGGTCGTCAAGAACGTCAGTCCTCCCGTGACCATGGGTTCTGTAAAGTGCCCAAAACTTCGGGTATTAAAAAGGTTGAAATTAAACGCGATAAAATCCTTAAAATTAGTTTTATTCCTTATAAATTTGATTCATAGTGAACATGGGAAGCACTACGCTCATGAACGGGAGCAGAAAAATGTTCGCCTTATGTCGGTGAAAGAGAATCCGCCACTTCATATCGTTCCGTCGTAAGAAGCGACATAAGAAAACAAACAGGAGATGGGCAGCATCATCTTCCTGACAATAGGTCAAAATAATAATAGCTGCGGTTGCCAGCCGACGTACCAAACGTGGTAACTATAGCAAATATCCAACTACTTGACAGTTTATGAGGGAGGTCTACCTTCATTTCAGTGGACTTTTGATAGGCTGGCGATAATGAGTTCTACTCATTTTTGTAACCGTTAATATTTACGGTAGAGTGAAAAAAAAGTAACATACCCGAAAATATGAATGAAATAGACACTGCATATATTACCCCCTGATAAGTAATAAAGTAGCAGCTTACATACATGTTACTACTGGGCACAGTCCGCAGAGAGTTTTTGGTCAAAAAAGTGTTCGTTGTGCTGATACTAACACGGGATGTCCTCAACCGGGAAACTTCTCACATATGCAGGTTTTCCTTCACCGCCGAGAATATGGTAAATCGACACTTCAAATTGGAATTAAAATATATGCTAAAATATATAATAAAAGATTGATTGAAGAAGAAATGATTACGTACCATGAAATTTCAGTTTTAATCAGTTAGATTACCGCTTTTGACAAGTGAAATAAAATGAACCTTTGTTTAAGTAATCTACTTTAATATAATAAAATCTTTAATTAAAGTATTTTCCGCAAGAGCTTATTCATTTACATATACTCATATGACCACTAAAATTAGGACTGTCACAAATATCTTAATATGTCTGAAAATATGAAAGCTATCTTAAATTACAAACTGATTTATAAGTCTTATTAAAGGTAAAAAAGTAAAGTAGAGGCTAATATAACTACGTATCACTACTGTGCACAGTGTTCTTCATTACTTTTAGTGTTTTGTGGGCAGAAAAATAGAGTAAGCTGCAATGCTTCAAAGCATATTAACGGTTTTCACATCTCCATGACTATTTTAATTACTCAGACATCTAGGTTTACCCACGAAGTTATTCTACACCACTTTAATAGACACGTGATAAGTCAGCACGTAAAATTTTTTACAACAGATTCATCCTCGAATCGTATACGTTTTGCTCCCGTGCTATGATGAAATCTCACGGCGAGCTACACGGCCCTCGTATTTGTTTAAATACACTTCATAAAAACTGAAACTAAGCTTTTGCATGATTGTTAACCACATCTACCTAGTAATTACACATCCAAAGATGCCACGAACGAATTTTCAATTATTTACATGGTATATTCAGTAGCATTCTATTATTTAATTTCAATATAATACATAACTAATCATGATTTACCTTATAGTTTATTTAGAAGTAAGTAGATGGCGCTATTATTAGATGAGATAATGAAAGAGAAAACTATACTATCTAGTAATATCATAGAAGCAAATATTTATTATATCAATAAGGCATAAAGTGATGTCATTTCTATTAAAAGTTCTGTTTCCATTAAAAATACGCTGTCAGCGTCTGACGTTAGGGGTGAAAAACAATTTAATGATATCGTCATATGACCATATCATGAAATAGCAACATTGTGTTTAGTTATTAATATCTTCAAATAATTTCTATTTATTGATTTGGTGGAGCGATATCATGACATGGTCAACAAACAGTGTCAAATATCATGAAATGACCACATCATTTCTCGAAATGATAGACTACTTAATGATATATATCAATTCTACAATCTGCTCAAGACATATATAAAAAATCTCTTTAATAAAACTATAACGATAATGTCAAAATATTGCAATAATTTCAAACAAACCAGTTTTAATCAGTTTACATATATAGACACATAGGCTTACATAGATTATAAAATAAAAACCTTTTTTCATATTTTTGATGGACGATATTATCTTTTGAAATTATTACACTCTTGAAATAAAATAACGAAGATATTTAAAAGCTAAATGTTAGAATATTTAAATAATTTTAAAAATCTAATCATTTAGATTTTAGTATAATTATGTAATTTATTTTTATTAATTAATTTATTAGTAATTGACGGCATAATCTACTACTTTTTCCATTTGATGATAGATGGTGCTGTTTTGATAACTAAATCGGTGTGGTTTCAAATTATTTTACCAAGGTTAAAACTATATTTTAAACTTTATTTATAAATAAATATGCTATTTGTTTGTAAAACACCCGTCATCTCGTTTCTAACTAAGATATCATATCTAAAGGAAGAAGATAAAAAATTAACATCTAAAGGAAGGAAAATACTTTAACTTCTTTTTTGAAGTTCCGTAATCAGATTAAAAGTAGCCTATAAGTTGCCTCGGGTACTACCTACATACAAAATTTTATGTAATAGTATCCTGTAGTTTTAGTGTGAATCCAGAATACACAGACAGACAGACAGGCAAAAGTTCTAAAAACCGTTAATTTGGCTTTAGAACCCTTTATTTAGGCCCCTGGATTTGTTTTTTCAAGAATATTTTATAATTACAGACACGAATTTTCTACAGGTTTATTATATGTATAGATATAGATGCCAAATTTTTACCTACTTGTCAGGCTAATTGCTAAATCTGGCAAGATTTGATCATGATCATGAGACTATAATGTCATGCACGTTAAAGCATTTGCCGTAGTCCTCTCATATTACACCCACGAAACGAGTTGGGAGTAATGGTTTCTCACTTTAAAATAAAGTTATAATTTAAAATTAAAAATTTTGTACAATTGACTTCATTAAAAATTATTAAGAGTAACTCAAGAACTATTGGTTAAACCTTGATCAAATTTTTATATGATTTATATGGGACCACATGTAAAGCACCTGCTTTCAAATAAAAAAAAGAATTATTGAATTCGGTTCACCCAGAAAAAAGGTATGAGGTAACACACATAAGAAAAACATTCAACATCGAATGGAGTACCTCCTACTGTTTGAAGTCGGTAGAAAATAAGGAAATAATTGAAAAGTGTTTAATAACAATATTATGATTTATTTCATCAATTAATGTAGTATTGAAAATTTAGTAATGTCACAATTAATGTATACTTTTTTCAATTATTTTAATCATTAGTGATTTGTTCTACGGTCTCTCAAGTTTGCAACCATAGACTGCAGCGTAAGTATCACTTAGCGTTAATAGACAGGATGCGACATTGTTATGATACTGCTGTTCTGCAACTCTTGCGTGGGGATTGACTGCTACCTGTAGTGATTAAAACAAATATTAGAAATAATTAACATTTAGTGTTCCATTTATATATTTTTATACAAAGTATTGTCCTCAAATAACTTAAGAAGTGATGGTGATGATGAAAATGTACGACATTGGGACGTCGGACACCTCAGTCACCCCCGTGACAATCTGCTGTTAAGAGCTCAAAATGTCGGGAATATAAAATAAGTTAATATACGCGATAAATTACCTAAAAACTAGTTTTACGAGTATTTAAATTGGCTGACACCGACAGCCGTGTGTCCAGATCATTACATTCTTTTAAATGTTTCAAATATTGATATATTATTACCTTAAACGTATACTGTCCTGGTACAACATCTGTGACGTCCACCCACTGACAGTCAATATTGTAATGATAAATGTCTGAACAATTGATTGACACACCTGGAAAAGGAATTAATTAAAACTCTCCTATTGTAGGTACGATTGCCATAATGCCTTAGTTTAATAAAAAAATAGAATTTATACGTGGTATAAAGCCATGCTGCAGCTATATTAATTGTATAATTGTAGCACGAATGGGTCGGCTCGACCAGGGAAGGACCACGCTCTCACAGAATACCAGCGTAAAATAGCAGCTTAATGCTTCTGTGTTTCGCATGGTGAGTGTAGAGAACTGGAGACCCTTTTTACTGGAAAAGAGGCATTCCACCTTAGTCCTCACAGGTGATTGTTGATTCGCAAACGAGGATAGATGTAGATGTCTATGGGCAACAGTAACCACTTACCATCAGGTGGACTGTGTGCTCGCTTTTCACCTTTATCCTATAAAAAAAAGTAAGGGGTGTCCCCTTAATAATACTAATAATAATGTGTATACTATACAAGAATACTCATTGTGAGTCATTTATGCTTTAACAATGAGGGCTAATAATCTTCCGCTCACCAGATGTCGCTAGTTGACACTGAGGTGAAATTTTTTGTTACACAATGTCATGTAATTGAGAAGTTAGTTATAAACAAAACTTAATAAGTATCTAGAGTATTATAATAATACACAAAACAATGCCTCCATAGTTTGCTCTTTAATTTTTTTTGCATATTTTTAACTCCTTTTTTAATTTTTTTGTTTTCATGAGTGTCTGTGGTATGGTGTATTTATTTTTAATCTAATTAATATAAAATATAATTAATAGTACAGAACGAAACATTAACTTTTAATTTTTTTTATAAAATTTTATTCCCCGCTATGAAGTCTGTAAAATAAATTAAAAAAAATTTAAGTGGCACCGCTCTGTTGACAGAAAAAGTTGTTGCTATATCGGTTACTCTGGTTCTACTACGGATATCCTCATTTCTATGTTTAACACACAGAGAAATCCCGAGTATCCCCGAGTCTATACTCGGGGTTTCTCTGCTATGCTAGGGCTATCCCTATCCATAGCTCGCTGAGCAAACTTGAGCTTCCTCATACGACCAGCAGTAAACGACCACGTCTCAGATTCATAAGGCATTACTGGCAATACGCACTGGTTGTACAATCTGGTTATCAAGTTTTGAGGACGGATTACGGATTAGGAAGCTGGAGTGCTGAAGTGCTTAAGTGGGTCGGCCATATAGTTCGAAGTGCCGACAATCGATGGGGAAGAGAGGTTCTCGAGTGGCAGTCTCGTACCGGTAGGTGAAGTGTGGAGTGGCCTCCCAATAAATGGAATGACAACCTGGTAAGACATGCTGCAAGTTGATGGATGCAGGTGGCTGAGGACCGTGCTTTGCGGTGTTACTTGGTGGAGGCCTATGTTCAACAGTTGACTTGTGAAGGGTTGTAATGAGGATGATGATGATGGTTTGGAAAAAACCTCTGTGTCTGTCCTGGGAAATGTCCTGCAGCCTTAATATATTGCGACATGTTACTATCACGTAACCAGTTTTCACAACAATACTCTAAATATACATATATATATACAATACTCAAGACAGTACCGCCACAACGAAAGTCCGATGCCAGCTCGGGAAAGAACGTCATTTAGGCCAGTATTAATAAACGTTACTCGACTCAAGTACACGCACTTGAGTACAATCGTGAGGGTATGATCTTATTAATAAACATATCTCAAGGTGCGGCTTAGGTTAACGATATCAGCTGAGTGACGCACTGGTTAATAAACGAAACTCTACTCTCAAGTATGTATATTTGAGATGCTAAAATCTGAGTGCAGGCAGTCCGTGAGTTAAGATCGTGATTGTTAACATTGGAGATGGAAAATATTTTAAGAGAAATTAATTATTACAACGAAATTAAGTACAATGGCGATATTTACGGCCTTCGCGATATCGTATATCAAAAAATTATATAAGGGATGCCTCTGATCATTTTAAGTTACGATGTGAACATTTTAAAAAACAATACAGATTAGGTCAGGAATCAGTAATATATATATAGTAACACTAATAAAAGACTCATTGGCGAAATACAGTAACAGAAGTCTTCTTCAAGGGAAGGTCTGTCTGGAATCTCCGTAGGCATACTAACTAGTGCTGTCAGACCATATGTCAAGGCAAATTCACAAACAGATCAACCCGCATGATCGCTTAAACGGGAATCAAGCCATTCAGCGTGGTGGGCGTTAATATCACCGAGGATAGCGATCTCTGCGGATAGGACCTGTACTGTAGCACGGAGTCTGCAGCCATTTGGACGTGGTCGATGAATCGGTCAGTGCCAACATTACCGCCATGGGATCTATAGAGCCACCCGTAGACGCGGGAATGGACCTTCAAGACTGCCGAGGCGTCGAAAACAGATGTACTCTCTGACGTATACGCAAATCCGAGCCCAAGGAACAAAGGAGTGTTTTATTTATTTATTTATCCTTCATTGCAACACACCAAGTAGGGATTACAAAAGGCGGACTTAATGCCCTATGGCATTCTCTACTAGTCAACCTGACGAAAAATTAAATAAATAAAGATATTGGCAGGTGCAAGTAAAGGACAATAATAAAATATAAGTTATAAATAAAAACAGTTTAGCTATAATACAGTTCAGTGTTCTAATTTGCATCCCGGGTAGGAAAGATACGAAGTTTCAGCCGGAGAGGACACCTGTGTCTCGGTTAGAAAGAACAAGGTCGGCTTCACTGTCTCCATGTGATAGTGGACGGCGTTAAGGTCTGAAATAAGTCCCCTGATGTTACATAAAATCACTGATAGTGTGGCAGGGGTCGCCTTTGTTTTATTGCTCAATTTGCTCTGGGCAGTATTAGTTGTGAAGTCGTGGTACCACCCAGGTATGAGATACCATGTGGCTCTGTTAAATCACTGCTTACAGTTAATTATTCAGTCAATTATTTTTGTATACGACAAAATTAGAAACATTCTAGAATTACTTAAACTGCCTAGTTATAGTGCCGTTATTAGATAGACATTTAGCAAATAAAATTAACGAACATAAAAAGTTAAAGAAAACATACACACATAGTTATAACAATCATTCTATAATTGTTCTTAAAAAAATTAGAACTGGTCCAGTGTTGGAGCGAGAATCAGGGAAAAACGGTATATGATTTCGTCAATTTTTCATAGGTATCATTAGCTTGATGACTAGCAGCTGAGTTTCTCGGTGACCTGTCTTGTTCCTTTAGGCACAACGCGTTTGCAATTGATAGTTAAAGCTATTCGTTAAATTTATCGCAGTCCAGATATCGTCAAGTTATAGCGGTAACATGGATTCTCAAGTAACAAGGGTTATAACAGTTATTGTAGGATGGCAGTACAAAACTTAGCAAATAGGCTGCGAAGTCGTGGGTTTCTTTTTATTATTACAACAAAATATGACAAGAGGTGCAAATATACCTAAAAATATTAGAAGTATAATTTACCTTGATCTCCATAATTTTTGCAGGAATATTTTCGTTCAATTCCTGGTAAGCATGTGTTATCCTCTAAGCAAAATGAAGCTTTGTGCCCTTCAGCTATTCTGTTTCCAGCTGCATCCAGGATGTCGAAAGTTGCAAACACTTCCATACTGTGATAGTGCCTACAAAATTATATTTTTTTAAATACTTGCATATTTTTATTCAGAGCTGGGACGTACGGTAAGAGTTCAGCGTCCACGCGAATATTGACTCTGTTGTCAGCTGTTTTATTCATTTTAAATTCCACTGCTGGTTTTATGTTTAAGTATTTGCATGAATTTTCTTTAATGAAATTATCGTTTCATTTGGCTGTACTAATAAAATGGAGCGTAATTAAAGCTAATAAAAAGTTGTGAAAAGAAGATTTTTTCCCCTCGTGATCAATTTTCTTTCTGACCCATCATCAAAGGTATCGTTAGTACTATCGTCTGTTTTCGTTTTAGGGAGTGTTTCACAAACACCCAGTATGAAATAGAACAACTAAGGAGGTCTTCTATTGCATGTTGTGCAATTGAGATTGTTGCATTTGGAATAATTATAATATGCATGTACTGAGTGCCTAAAAATTCTGCTAGGGATATTGATACATTATTAAATATATTGCAAAATATCTTACGTGAGTACTATTTTAAATCAAAACATTGTTATTGTTGGTGATTTCAATGGTGACATATTAAGCCAAATATCTTGACAAATAGCATAACAAAAATTTTGAGTAGTTACAATTTCATAGTTGAATTTAATGAACCAATAAGGTTATGTACCTGCATAGATAACGCATTTCATAATTTTACAAAAATAAATAGGAAAATACGAGATTTTGCACTCTCGCAACACACAGCCCAACTGCTGAAAAATCCAGTAATAAAGCATCATGAATGACGTATTGGTATATTTTCAAACGAGTTTTTTGCAAAAAAAAATTAAAGAAGTTTGTAGATTGCCTAAACTCTTTCACATTCTATGCATTATATTCTATTATATATAAATGATATTGTTAATATAGCATCATGCAATGAACAATATCATTTATATATAATAGAATTAAAATAAGACCGAGCACACAAGACATTTCAATAATTGAGACTGTTATGATGGTGATGATGATGACGATGATGATAACGATGATGATGATAACGATGATGATGATAAAGATGTATGCTACTTCTATGTGTCGAGAACAGACCTCAGATCTCCAAACCACATAAGCTTTACGATGCATTTTATCCTATCAGTCCGCCTGATTGTATCTACTGCAGCATTTGGACATCTGAAACTTACTTTAAATAAATAAGACTACAGATGCGCTGTCACTACTGAGGACTATGATGAAATTGCCTATCAGTCTGTAACTATATCATTGGTTCACACTGTCGCTTAGTGGCAGAAATATATGTAGAAAAGATGGACTTTTAGGCAGAAAAGGAGTCTAACTACCAGTACCAAGTCTTCACTATTACGTTGATCTTTTACCATTGTTACAAGTCGAGATAGATGATAAAATTAAGAAAATAACCTAATAGGGGACTAGAAATCACTAGAAATTTCTCCTGTACTTTACCCGAAACAATTATTAGTAAACCATACAAACACATTCCGTGTGGGAATCAAACCTGTGACCTTTACCGTTACCGCGTTGTCTTATTTACACTTACATATGACAGAGATGCCATTGCCACAGATGCTTTGGTAGGTATGGCCTGAACTCTGCATTGCCAATATTCAACGAAGACGCAGTGAAGCGAAGCAAACGACGAGTTTCATATTGCCAATTTGAGTTGGTCTGTTGAATCTAATAAATAAAAAAATACATATTATATACAAAGTTTTAGCAAGACGTTGGAATAGGTGCTCGATTAATGACCCTTTAAAAACTAGGATAGTAATACCTACTTATGAGGGACACCAAATATATCTTTTATATATGAATTCGAAAATGACAATTTCTTTATAATTATAATATCAGTAATAATGATTATTATTACTCTCTGAAGACGTCTCAAAAATAACTTGCTAAATAATTTTACCAAATAAAACACTTTTTTGCGCCACTGCTTCAGGAGGCAATGTATTTCGAGTGTATGTGTGTAGACCTATACACGGTTATTATTTTAAACTTAAGTACCAAAATAAAATAAAAAACTAAAACTAGTAACTTAATTATCATACAGTCCTACTCCCCGCTGTATCGTGCCTTAACTTAAGTTCAAATATATTAATAATGATATACTGTTATTGTAGTTTTTGAAACTACGACTAAATAAAGTTTTTACTTTTATTTGAAACTATCCCAAATTGAATTTTATTTATAGGCAACAACTACGTGTACGCGCGATTTAATTCAAAACGTTTAGCCGACCGATCGAAACTTACGAATGTGTGCGTGCGTAGTAAATTAGTAGGCGTTAGATATTTATGAATTACAATTACTTAAAATAATGCATTACCATGAATTTTGATTATAATTTTTTTAAGTTTGAGATTTTTTAAAATTAATTTTTGTTTACCATTTGCCTATGTTAGTTATTCTGATGATGCTCGTTTGTCACTCAAATTCTATAAAAAAAGGCAGCAACTATAACGTCGTCAAAATGGTAAAACAAGACACCACGTCTATTTTCCATCTTGAAGGTTTTTTTTATTATCGAGATTTACAATGTACAGGTAGTTTTTTTTGAATTTGTCGTCTGCATTTAATACAATTTGAAATTAAACATTTAAATAAATAAAGAAGATCGTAGGACTAAAGTAACAGGTAACAGATATCTCGAGTTTATACGAATTAATGCTTGTTTGTGTTCGCTCGTTTGACTGAACTCGGTGTCACCTTGGAACCTTGAAGATTCCGGGGACGGGTGAAATTTATTCACTGACTATTGAAATTATGTTGTCATCTGCCTGAATAAGTTATCACTACACAAACACGCTACATATGTAAACATTCATATTTATGATAGCAGGAAAGTAATATAACTTAGCAAATATAAACAAATGCTACATCGGCGTAACAAGGCTAAGCCAGGGAGAGGACGGGAATGGGGAGGGGGCGAGATATGCCCCGAGCGGCATATTTTAAAGGTTGATATTTTGGGAATGAAAGTCAATTTCCCGACCTTTCTTCTTAAAGAATGCCAGCAGAAATTTTGAGAATACAGATATTGCATTTTTTAATTTCATTTCATTTTTAGATAATGCTGTATCCCGCGACTTCGCTCACGTGTTAGGGTTTTTATGTTTTTGCGCGGAACCCTAGTTCTTTTTCTAAAATAAAAGTAGCCTAAGTTATTCCTTACGTAATCAGCTATCTGCCAGTGAAAGTCCCGTCAAAATCGGTTCAGCCGTTTCGGAGATTAGCCGGAACAAAGAGACAGACAGACAGACAAAAATTTTAAAAATTATATTTTAGTTATAATTACCGTATTTACTTTTATATGCATTTAAAAATACTGTAATTTTGACATTACAAACAGACACTTCAATTTTATTTATTTGTATAGATTATACAAAAAATGTGGTCTTTTCCCAATTTATATTTTTAAGATACTTTGAAAATGTTGCGAGAGAGGGAGTGAGGGACGGCATTTTTAATTTATTGGCCTCGGGCGGCAGCTACCCTGTCCGCCATGAATTGCTATTGAATGAATTGAACAGCGGTAATAATATTATCTTACATAATCGATTACCTACATTTCGTTCCGTGACTCTCTTTGCCACAATAAGACAAATGGTAGAATAATTAAATTGTATAACTTTAGACCAAGGGGTAGAGACAAAAAGCATTGACAAAAGAGTGAATGATTTGATATACTCTGCCAAGCATAGCGAATACCGTTACCGCCACAGCCAATTAAAGTCCACTGCTTAACATAGACCCATAGATTACCTCATAGGCGGGGTATTTGTAGCGAGTTGGCAACCGTAGTTTTTAATTTTAATTGTTATTAGGAAGACGTTGCTGCCCATCACCTGATTTGTTTCTCTTTGTCGCCTCTTATGACATCACACGGGATAATATTGGGTAGGTAGTGGATATTCTTCCGCCGCCACTACACGGTAAAGCCATCCTAATACTGGACTGTCCAGCAGTGGACTATGTGTAATCCTTACGAGACTGAAACCTTTCAATTACACGAGTGATAGGTTTGTGTGTTTTAGTTTAAATTTTGTACTTTATTAAACTATTTCCTATTTCGTCCTATTAGAATCTGTCCCGGCAGAAGTTCTTCCCTTTTCAGGAGGTGGCGTGATTAGCTTTATTCCGAATTCATTCCGGACTTTTTCAGAGTAAATAAACAATTTCTTAATAAATAGACCAGAACGATTTATTTTAAGTATTTTTTTGGCACGAATCCATTTTATTTTAAATGTTATAGCCGGTACATACGATCAGTTAAACTGATCAATTGAACTGATGAGGTCAACTGATAAGTTCAAAGGTATGTAATTTCGACACACACACACACACACACACGGTCAGTTAAACTGATCAGTTCAAATGATCAGTTGAACTGATCAGTTTAAGGGTATTACATTGCCCGGTGACCTTGCAGATTTGTTTCCGCAACTAATATTTGTTACTTCAGCGCTATCAACCAACAGACGATAATATTACATAAAAAGAAACTGATGCACTGAAGATAAGGTATGAATACAGCTCCACACGTCAGTTAAACTGAGTAGCTCGACACAGGTCAGTCAGTTAAGTCAGCGGTGTCCTCGAAAAAATCCATGGGTTAGACCATCAGTTAAAAATTTCAATTTAAGATTTAACACTCACGATCACTTTTTCAATGTACGTCAATTTGACCGATCAGTTTTAGTGACTGTGTGTGTCGGCCATTAGTCATTTTGGAACATAACTATAGAACTTGTCAATAAATCAACTAGTGCGCCACCTATAGGATTCTAAAATAGCTCGAAAAAACTTATGTATTGGGTTACCATGGCTACAATTGGTCAAATCGTTCAGAATTTCCACGAATAGTAACAGATGCACCAAAGGTTATATAATAGCGATAAATATTTTATGTACAAATTTGATCTCACACCTCATAGGCCGATTTACTGAGACAGTTTTCTTATAGCACATTGTAGTTGGAACATAGGAACGTCGTGTAAATGAGCGGTTCGTTCTATAGCTGTGGTATCGAGAAGCAAGTCTGGCAAGTACTGTGTACAGACAACTCCGGCTACGTATCCTGAAAAAAAGACATTATATGATCTCACATATTAATATGTTTCTGCTTAGGCCTCTTACTATATTTACAAAAATTTTATGTATGCACACAGAAACAAAAGAAAGTTTTATTGAAAATTGCGATGTACTCGGTGTTATTATACTACCAAAGATTATATGATTGATAATAACCTCTGAGGATGATGTGATCGCTTCCGTGCTGTTTCTAAATGTTTTCATATTTAATTGTACAAAAAATTATATTGTAAATTAATGTTCAAAAAAAGTCTCGCTGTGTTTCTTACTAGTTATTTCCGGGACAGAGGTCTTTTTCGAACCAGTGGTAAAAGCATAATTGACTTTCGATAAGTGTTCGTGTAATCTGTATTGAATAAAAATTATTCTATTCTAAGAATAGAGGGAGACTGAAATAGAAGTTAGCCACAGCATCTTTCTGATAACAACTCAAAACAATAAATAGTGCGGATATCAGTCCAGCTGCCAATCGTGGCAACTATGGTAAATATCACTTCTATGAGGAAACCTCTGGGAGAGACCTATGTTCAGTAGTGGATTTGGCTGTAATGTTGATGATGCGAATATTTAAAGGATAAATTATTAATTATAAATTCCCGATAGCAAAATAAATATATTAATTGCTTTTTAAGTGATTATTAACCACGGCTTGGAGTTTAGGTAAATATACAAAAGATACCAGATTGTTTTAGAAATAAAAAATCTAGTAAAGCTTGCCAACACTCTTTCCGTTAGATTGGATACGAATTTTTTTCGTGTTTACTTGCACTTCTATGTGTACAATAATCTAAGATTACATCATTCATTCATCATCACGCCCTGTAATAAATGGATTTGTAAACATACACAACTTATAAATAAAAAAAGGACTCCTTACCCTTTTCTCCTGGACAAAACACGTTACCAAAATCACCGTGTTTGCACATAAAGAGATTGGTTTCGTTTCCCTCGCACTGCAATCCGCTCAGTACGATCCGAGAAGATCCAAAGTAATCAGTTTGGAGTGCTTGTTCGGCGTAGCCTAGAGCTAAATGTTTGCATACCGCTGCAGCTTCGTAGATTGTCCAGCCGTCAGGACAAATACTGCCCCAATATCCTTTATGGTAAATCTGAAATATGAGTCAATGTTATTAAAGGTACAATTCTATAGCCAACCGCAGAGAGCAGCAGCAGGCGACGTGTCGTCGCGACATGTCGTCGTGACATGTCGCTGCGACATGTCGTCGTGACATGTCGCTGCGACATGTCGTCGCGTCATATCTCTGCAGTCATGATTCCGAACCCGACTGCAGGCGGCAGTAGCCCGTGTTCATATATATATATATATATATATATATATATATATATATATATATATATATATATATATATATATATATATATATATATATATATATATATATTACTTTTATTTAACTCTTTCCTATATTTTTTTCAAATATTATCTTTTGTCACACTGTTTAAATGTGTAGGATATTAGGCCACCTGGTTTATCAATTTCTTTTCCACGGAAACGGTCTAATCATTTTTTGATAAAAATTCAACGTGTCGCTCGGGCATTGGCGGCACTACTGATCTACGGTCGGACGACATGTCGTCTGCTGCTCCGGCAAACGACGTGTCACTCTAGCTACGGAAGGTATTTCATAGAACTACATAGAAACCAGTAGCACAGAGTAAAGAGTAAGGACCAGAGGGGAAGCTTCTTAACAACGTCGAAAATGTATACCTATTCTGATAGGGTTGTCACATGATGCATGTGAAAATTTTAAGTAAACAATAAAAATATTGTATAGCATAAGACAACATGTGTATTAATTATAACTTATATTAATGTAACAACATATCTATTA